CCCCGCCTTGTACACTCAGGCCCGGCTGGTCCCTGGCCTGCCTGCCCACCCGCCCTTCCAGGTCCCACAGAGCCCTCCCGCGCTCTCCTGTCTCATCATGTTCAAAGACAATTCTTTGTCACCCCTTCCGCCCTGTGTGGAAGCAGGAGAGCGAGACCTTGTCCCTGCATGGCGGGTGCCGAGGACAGAGCCGGGTGGGAAGTGCAGGCGGCCGTGAGATGAGCCGGCCTGGGTCTTGGCCAGCTGCTTGCTGCTGCTCCTGCAGCCCTTCTGCTCCTGAGAGGCCCAGGTGGGCGTGGCTCAGCCGCTCCTTACCTGTGTGTCCCGGGGCAGGTTACTTCGCCTCTCTGTGCCTGGGTCTCCTCATCTGTAAAGGGGAGTGCTGATGGCTCCTGCCTCCACCTGCCTCGTGGGGTGGCTGGGGTCAGGTCACTACGTGTGCCCTAGCAGAGGGTCCAGCCCACAGGAGGCGCTCGGTCCCTGTGGCCATGGCTCTGTGGCTTAGTGTTGGTGTCTGGTGGGTCACACGCTGACAGGGAGGCCTGGTGCTCTAGCCGTGCATCTCTGCCAGGGCCTCAGCTTGGCCTAGAGAAGGACCCTCAGCAGGACCATGTCTGTGGCCCTGCGATGTTGGGACCATGCAGTTAACACAAGCTGAGCCTAGCTCTGGCTGTAGCCGGCTGAGAACGTGCTAAGAGGCATTGAGGTTTCAGCCTGATTTTGTTTACCCGTGTTGCCCTCCTGTGTACCCACCCCGGCTGGAGCAGGGCTTCCGGCACTGCCCTCCTTCTCCCCTGCCTGCATCCGGCTGTCTGGGAGCCGGGGTGGAGCCATCAGGCTCAGGGGGCCCTGGGGTGTCTTCGAGCTCGCCGACCTGAATTGGTTCCGACTGTGCCATGAGAGGCCGGGCCCGCTCCACCCCTGCTCCGAGACGGAGAGCCAGGCACCCAGTTCTTGGGAGAGCTGGGGGTTGGTGGCGGCCACCCTGCTCCTGTGATCAATACCTGCCAGGTGGAGCCAGGCAGTCACCCTGGGGCCGCCTGCACCCCAGCGGCCAGTGCTGAAGGGCCTTCCGTGTCGCTGTCCAACCACCCACTTACAGATGAGGGGACCAAGGCTCAGACCCTGGGAGTCACGTACCTGAGGTCACAGAGCGAGTGAGAAGAGCCAGGTCGCCTTCTCCCAAAGAAAGCGGCCCAGCTTCTCGGGTCCATGGGGAGCTGTTGGGCACTTGGGCCCCAGGGAATGTCATTGGCCCCCACCTCCCATCACTGGCCCCCACCACTCCCATAGTGGAGTGGAAGGAGCAGCTGCTGTCACCGTCCCAGACGTTTGTCTCGCTGGGCCGTGGTGGCCTGTGTCTGGGGATGGCAGTGCCTGGAGCATCCAGGACGTGGCAGTTGGTCAGTCTTAAACAGAAGTGTTGCTGCAGATGGGTGGCTCGGCCCCGGGCAGGGAGGGGCTCAGACAGGGCCCCTGGGGCCTCATCCCCCAGCCAATGACATCTCTGTTTCCTCCTGCAGATGTGGTGAACTTGGACCTCAAATCCACCCTGCGGGTGCTTTACAACCTGTTCACCAAGTACAAGGATGTCGAGTGAGGAGCTGCAGCAGCGGGCCTTTCCGCCAGAGGAGCAGCGCCCGAGCCCTGGGCCTTCTGGGGAGGGGCTC